AGAAGTCAACCATTCATTGTACTGACATTACCCTATTGTAAATCAGTCACTTTTTTCCTGCTGCCTTCAATATTTTCTCTTTGTTTTTGGATTTCATCAGTTTCACTATGATGGCCTAGAAGGGTGTCTTTTATTTTTATCATAATTGGTGTCTATTGAGCTTCTTAGATTTGTAAATTAATGTTTTCATCAAATTTGGGAATTTTTCAGCCATTATTTTCTTAAGCATTTTTTCTGCCCTTTTTCCTCTTTCCTCTCCTTCTGGGAGTTCCATTACATGTACATTGTTACATTGATGTTATCCCACAGGACTCTGAGACTCTGCTTATTTTTCTTCTATCTTTTTTCTCTATGTTCTTAAGACTTCTCTAACTTCAAGTTCACTGATTATTTCTTTTGCCATCTCAAATCTGTTTTGAGCCCATCTATAGAATTTCTCATTACAGTTTTGGAATTTTTAATTCAAGAATTTTATTTGGTTCTTTCTTAGAGTCTATTCTCTCTTAAGTTTCCCTATTTGTTGAGTCATTGTCATAATATTTTTCTTTACTTTTTTGAACACATTTATAACAGCTACTTTAAGTCTTAGTCTACTAAAGCCTACACTTGAACCTACTCAGAGTCAGTTTCTGTTAATTGGTTTCTCCCTTGAGTATAGTGTCATACTTTCCTATTTCTGTGCATGTCTCATAATTTTTAGTTGAAAAACTGACATTTTAGATAACTTATTATAGCAACTATGAATTCTGTTTTATTTTTCTGAGAGTTGCTTTCATTTGCCTGGACATAAACTGCAATGCTTATCTGCCCACAATGTGCACTGAACAGAACAGACGTCTCTGTTCAGTTTTCTTATTCTTATTATTATATTATAGTCTGTCTTTTTAGGGGTCATCCTTGTGGCTACATAGCTTTGTGGTCAGTCAATAATTTGTGTTGAGACCTTCTGCCTATTGATCTGTACTTACCAGGAAGTACATTCCAAGTTGCAGCAAATTCTCAAGTCTCCCTTGACTTATAATTTATGCTGCAAAAAAAACTGGGATAAATGTAGTTTCCCAGTAGGCCAAGGGTTATGGAGAGCTTATCTACTCAGCCTTTTTAGAGTTCTCTCTTTTCCAGGACCACCTCCTCATTAAATTTCTTGCTAGTCCACTGCTCACCCTAACCAGGACCACAAACTTGGGCACGCAAAACTACAAGTTTTCCCCATTTATTTCCTACCAAGTTCTTCACTTTTATTTGACAGGATTATAGATTTTTGCCTCCTTCCCCAAATTGATTCTGCCCACTCTGACAATAATGCTACTAAATTTTGCAGCCAGCTCTAAGCTGGTAAAACTATACTTCTTTCCAGTTATGCTGGGGTGGGAGAGAGGCTGAGAGCAGTCTAAGCAAAAAGGTGTTAGACTCCTGCTGTTCTTACCCAAAGCACTCCAGTTTTTTAAAGAATATATGCTTCTCCAAACGTAAGGTAGATAGCTAGTGGGAAGCAGCCGCATAGCACAGGGATATCAGCTCAGTGCTTTGTGACCGTCTGGAGGAGTGGGATAGGGAGGGTGGGAGGGAGGGAGACGCAAGAGGGAAGAGATATGGGAACATATGTATATGTATAACTGATTCACTTTGTTATAAAGCAGAAACTAACACACCATTGTAAAGCAATTATACCCCAATAAAGATGTTAAAAAAAAAAAAGAAAAGAAAAAAATATTATAGCATTTACGGCAATGGATGTTAGCTAGACTTATTGTGATTACCAATTCACAAATATATGCATATATCAGATTATTATTTTGTACACCTGAAAGTAATATTATATGTCAGTTGTATCTCAATTTTTAAAATAACATAAAGTAAATAAATAAATAATAAATAAATTATTTTTATTTATAATATATATAAATATTATATTATTTATAAATATTATATTTATTTATTTATAAATATTTTATTTATAAAATATATATAAATAACAAAATATTATAATTCAGAATCAAAAACTGCTAGTCTATGGCTAACAATAAGAAGAATAAAAGGTAAAGAACTTATGCTTTATAACATGATATTGAATCAATTATGATAAGTAAAGGCAATATAATGGGATGGATAATTCTATACTCTTGCCTCTCAAGAACACTGAAGATTAATGAGATGATAACACAGTGCCATTCGACACAAAAGGTGATGAAGCTTCAACGAAAATGTGTCTTTATTAATGAGGAAACATGTTTTGCTTGGACATTAAAAATTCTAAGCTTGGAATTCCCAAAAAAAAAAAAAAAAGAATATATGCTTCTCAAATTGTGGTCTACACAATATGGATTCTGTGGTCCAGAGTCCTGAAATATTTTTTCATTTTAAAACTTTGCCAGTTTGTCAGAAGATTCACCAACTTCTTCATACTACCCTAATGGAAGTCACTCTAGGCTGGTCTCTTAAAATTACATCAAGCTGACATTACCTGTTTGGTTATGACATTTGTTCCCTACAGTTTATGCCCTGTGATCTGCAGCTGGAAGGGAGGCAGTACTTTTCCAGATACAGCCCACTTCCATGCCCCAAGATGCTTTAGCTTTCTCAAGCATGAATCAAGCCTCACTAATCTGTGTTCTATATCTGTAGAGATTCCATAGCAAGCTCTTAATGTGGTCTCATTGGAGTTCCTCTTATTAGACTTGGAATTAGGAAGCACTTTCCTCCTGTAAATACACACTTCTCTCTTTTGATGGGGTGGACTCAATAGGGTAGCTTTCTCCAAAGAAATCCTCTCCTAATTCTCTTTAGGCCCAACAACTGAATACTTTTTAGACCTTTAATGTGGTTTATGTGTGAATTAAACTATGGTGACTTGACTTAGAATTCACTTTAGAAGGAAGCCTCTACTGTATATGGCCTCAACTAAAGTTGAGATAGGAAGAGTCCCATCTTAACATCCTGTGTCAAGAATAATCTGATGAAAGATTTGCAAATTCATAGGTGAAGTTAGATGGCACAAAAAAATACTGTAACATGGGGGCTTGTGTGTTGAGGGCTTACTCAAAACCCCAAAAGTGATTATTTTTCTAATTTAGGAACCTTCAGTTTAGTCCATCTTTAGAAATGGATGACATTCCCTTTTTTGTGGAAGGAGGCAACTCTCTTCATGTACTGCTCATGCAGACAACTAATTAAATGAAATAAAACGGTCCACAAACACAGAAAGTCTCATCAAGAGGTCCCTGTGGATGGTTCAAGTAATTATGCCTGTCAAGGGAAGATACTGTAGGAAGGGTATTATGTTCAGAGAGCACACAGTGTTTTTAGTGTTAAATTTTGGCAGCCTGAGACATGATAGCATCCCTTAATGTATCACTGCCCTTAAGAAGATCAAAGGAGAAGAAACCTCTCTGCCTGCCTTTTTCAGAAGTTAAAAGAGATTTAAGAATGGAAGAGCTCAGTTGTAATGCAGTAAGTTAACAATGGATTACAAGGATCTAATAATTCCTGTCTTACTTTTATTTTACTCAATTAAGTAGGCAAAAGGCAAGAGTCCTATCTCTTAGAAAGCAGTACTTCAATACTGCTAATGTTGGTCCAGAAAGATTTGTTGAATGAATGACATCTCCAGCTTCCCTAGGGATATCTTCAATCAGAAAAGAAGACTTCAAATGAACAGTCATCTATATCGGGGGAGTAGGCAGATGTTGAGGATATGGCACGCACATTCATAATAAGCACACTTATTTTACACATATAGGAATACAGCGCTCTGCTTAGATAGTTTTGGCATCTACTAAAAACATTAAGCACACTGTTAGACTAATTTTCAGGTCTCAGTTTCTCCATCTGTATAATGAGAGGATTTAACTAAAATCACAGATAGGGAATAAAATTTGTCCACTAAAACTGAGTGGTAGTTGTTATATGATTACCATAAAGAAAAGGATTTTTGAGCTCTACAAAGGCCTAGGGGAAAAGTACACTATGATGGATAAGAAATGTTTTCCACGGTCAAAGGATAGAAGAGTAGTGATTTAAGTTGCAATTCTGCCATCCTTGGAAATATATCTAAGGACTCTTACTTTAACATCCTATGATTTTATAACTGTATGATATAGTCTGTATTATACCTTCTAGAACAAGGCAGTCTGCTTTGTAAACAGAAATAGATCCATTCCACAGAGAACTGAGGATGAAACTGGTTTCATTTGTAGGTAGATCAGTTACTCATTTATCTGATGAGATTTGGGGAAGAAGAGTGGACACAAGTCCTCTTGCATCATTAATTCCAGACATGTTTTTCATGGGTCAAATTTTTCTTTTCTACAGGTTATATGTAATCACCCATAGGAAATTAACTTGCCACACTACAACGTAACTGAATAATACCCATGAACCCATATACTTTAATTGAAATTTTAACTTTATAAAATGCTTTCACATTTATTTTTATCCTGCATCATTGTCACTTCACAGCAATCCTCTAAGACAAATATCCTTACTCTTAATTCAGGGGAGGACTTGATGCCAAGGGAGGTTAAGTGAATTGGTTGCCAAGCCTCCCTGGCTAGAGATGGTAAGTGTTAGAGATGACATATGAATGCAGTGTATTTAACACCATGCCCAGAGATTTTTATACCACAGCTAATCCTTTTCAGAAAGTAGTTTTCAGTAGGAAGATGAGAAATGGCATAAAAGCAGGAGGTACCGAAGAAGGCGGGAAGGGAGGCTGGTGGTGACGGTGGTCAGATGTTTAGGGAAGAAAAGGGAAATCAAAATCTCTGAGCCACACATTACTGACTCCCACATTTGTATCTCAACATCCTTTACTATATACCAACCACCGCCTCCACATCTCCATGAAGAGAACTCTTGATTTTCAGCCCACCCTTCCACCCCATCAAATCTACTCCTTCCACAGTTTTCTATATACCATTATATGGTGTATTAGCCTGTTCAGGCTGCCATAACAGTATACCAGACTGAGAGGCTTAAACAACAGAGATTTATATGCTTACAGTTCCGGAGGCCAGAGTCATGATCAAGGTGCCAGCAGGGTTGGTTTTGGTGAGAGTTCTCTTCTCAGCTCGCAAACGGTGGCCTCCTTGCTGTGTCTTCACATGGCCTTTCCCCTGTGGGTGCAGAAAGAGATCTCGGGTGAACACCAGTCCTATCAGATTAGGTCCCTGCTTTTATGGCCTCATTTAACTTTAATTACCACCCCAAAGGCACTGTCTCCAAATACAGTCACATTGGGAGTAAGGACTTCAACATATGAATTTTGGGGGAACACAATTCAGACTATAGCAACAGCATACAACATTTCATCTACTGTTCAAGTCAAAAATACTAGGAGTTATTCTTGATCCCTCTTTTTCTCTCATATCCCACATCCAATCAATGTACCTTTTTTTTTTAACATCTTTATTGGAGTATAATTGCTTTACATTGTTGTGTTAGTTTCTGCATATAACAAAGTGAATCAGCTATACGTATACATATATCCCCATATGCCCTCCCTCTTGCGTCAATCTACCTTTAAAACATACCTCTACATCTGTGATATCTCAACACCTCCACAGCTACTACTGAAGACCAAGCCCCTCGATCTCTCACCTGGACCACTGCAATAGCTTCCTAACTAGTCTCCCTGCAAAGCTGTCCTTTAACCCTATAAATCAGATTATTCCTCTTTCGAAAATCATTACTGCTTCCCATATCACTTAGAATTCAATCCAACCCCTTCCTTAGTGTTAGGAAGGTCCTCAACAACCTGGCTCCTGACTATATCTCCAAAGTTACTTCCCCCTTGTTCACTAGGCTCCCCAGCCACCCTGGTTCTCTTGCTGGCCCTTGAACACTCAAAATTATTCCCATCCCAGGGGCTTGGCCCTTTCTCTTCCTCCTACCTGGAATGCTCTTTTCCAGAACTGCCAGTGACTCGCCCTTCATATCAGTCAGGTCTTACTCAACAGTCATCAACTAGGGAGGCCTTCCCTGACCAAACTGTTAAAACCATATAGCTCACTGTTTGCAGTAACAGGACTCCACCATCCTAGGAAACTCCTGCCCAGGAAAACTGATTTGCAGACAATATTATTGCTTATTTCAGGAACTTCTCAATATTCATTTATCCAAACAACACTAGACTTCATTCAAGTAAATTAGCTGGGCTCATCAAACAGTTTCCTCTTAAATTCCAAATCCAAGCCTCTGGTGTGTTCAACAATCCCAATCTGGACCAACAATGAAAAGCCTGCCTTAAACTAGACTTCCCAAAACTCATCAATATCCCACCTTTTCCCTCCCTATCCAAGGTACATCTAAGACTGTCGTGGCAGTGCTCTTCCTTTCAGCACTGAAATCACAGTAGTAACTGACTCATCTTTGCTTTATCAGCAGGTTATTTTGATGATTCGGGAGAGGAGCTGGCACTTGACTCTGCCCACCTTCCTTCTCCTTATCCTGTTTCATTTGTATTCATATCATTTATTACTAACAGGTACATATACAATCATTTATTTGTTGCTGATTTATTACCTTTTTCCTGGAATAGAACATAAGATCCATAATGGCAGGGATATTTTTTGCCTTATCCTTGGCAAAATTCCTGGAAACTAGGACACTGCCTGGCACATAGTAGGTTCTCATTAAAGTTGTTAATAAATGAGTGAGCTCTGTAGGTTGGCAGAGTCAGGATTAAGAAGACAAGGCAGATACAGAAGCCTCTTCATATTCAGTGAGATGAACTGCATTTCTGGTCCCCTGGAAAGATCATAGAGGCTAGAGACTCTCCCTTTGATCCTGCACAGCACTGAATCACCAGGGCACAGACGCCATGGGTTCCACAAGGCTGGTCTCCTGGGGATTCTATCCATTCTAGTACCCCTGCCCCACCTGAGAAAATACAATCATCACCATTGTTCTGCTCTGCTTTCCTCTATTATCTTTATTCTAACTCCTTCCTTCCATCCAAGGAAAGAGGAACGTGACAAAATAGAATATCTAGAAATATTTCTGGTGCTCTTTCTCCTGAAGTTTGAGCCCTATATAAAACCTGGCCAGAGTGAGGCTGTGTAAGAAACATATTTACGTATTGGGAGAAGCATATATACGAGGACTGCTGGATAAAATTCAGGATGCCAACTTGATTTTGAATTTCAGGTAAACAATGAATCACATTTTAGCATATGAAAACCAATATTGTATGGGATATACTTACACAAAAAATTAATTTGTTGGACTTCCCTGGTGGCACAGTGGTTAAGAATCTGCCTGCTAATGCAGGGCACATGGGTTCAAGCCCTGGTCCGGGAAGATCCCACATGCCGCGGAGCAACTAAGCCCGTGCGCCACAACTACTGAGCCTGTGCTCTAGAGCTCGCGAGCCACGTCTACTGAGTCTGCATGCCACAACTACTGAGCCCGCGTGCCCAGAGCCCGTGCTCCACCACAAGAGAAGCCACCGCAATGAGAAGCCTGCGCACCACAACGAACAGTAGCCCCTGCTTGCCGCAACTAGAGAAAGCCCACGTGCAGCAACGAAGACCCAATGCAGCCAAAAATCAATCAATAAATAAATGTATTAGAAAAAAAATTAATTTGTTGTTTATCCGAAATTCAAATTTAACTGGCTGTCCTATGTTTTTGTTTGCTAACTCTGGCAACCCTAATCTATTCACTTATAAATGGGCACAGGTAATAAATATAAGCGGACAATTGAATGCATGTCCCCATATGCTAAGGATGATTGGGGCTTTTGTCAATTATTTTGTAAAATATAAATCCCTAGGAAACAGTGATCTCCCATTAAAATACCATGCAAGTACAGCACTAAGGAACACAGGCCAAGCCAATTAAGGCATGGTCGTCTCCAACCCTTTAGCTTTTCTTGATGTTCATACAGGAATAAATTGAGACACATAAATAAATGCTATGGAGAAATAAAGACCACCAAATGAGAACAAGGAAAGCCTATATTCAGAGTTTCTATAGCACAGGAGTCAGCCACCATCACTTACATTTTGGCAGAGACTCAAATGCAGGCAGCGGAGTGGGAAAGCTTTATAGTGGAAGAAAGGGAAGGCTTCGAGTATGCCCTGATTGTAGGCTGTTGGCACAAAGAAGCTGTAGGAGGCTAACCAGAAGCCGGGCATCCTACGTGATTAGCTAGGAATATATGTTTGGCTTTCTCCGGTTGGTCCTTAGTTGGAGACAGGGACAAAGGTTAGCGAAGCTGTCAGTTATTAATCAAGTCCTGGCCATTTGAGGCTGAATGTTAGGGGTGATTGTTTGGCTTCCTAGTTGCTACCAGACATAGTAGTCTGGCTTCCTACAAATCTGAGGTATAGTAGGCTGGCCTCCTGGGTTGGTTTCCCGGGCAGCTTACTGCAGGTTGTGGGTTAAGAGTTCTGTTTTTGTGTGTGTGGTATGGCCATTGTCTGTTTGTATATTCAGTCTCTCAGTATGAGGCTGCACTATGCAATATGGCAGCCACTAGCCACATGTGGCTATTTAAATTTAAATTAATTAAAACATAAAATTTTAAATTCAGTTGCTCAGTCACATTAGCTACATTCCAAGCTTTCCATAGCATATGTGGCTGATGGACTACCAAATTGGACTGTGCAGATATAGAACGTTTCTGTCACTGCAGAAAGTTTAACAGAATAGATGACAAAACACTTTTATAACTTTGTTCATTAGACTTCCAAACCCCTCTAGGAAAATGCAAGCACCATTATCATCCTACTGGAAAATTTCCACCTTCTCCCTTCTCCCTCTGAGTCTCATTTATTCTGGTTTTCCACAATTTCACATTCTCCATTCTGTTTCTTAATTACCAGACTGTGCCTCTGCCCTCTTTTATGCTTTCCCAGTTTGCTGGGTTGATGCTTTCCTTTATTCACAAATCGTTTTGAAAAGTTACTCTAGTGAGTACTTACTGAATTACCTCACTAACTCTACTTTTCTAGTAGAGTTTTTCCTTCTTCACTAGCCACAAGGTTATTCCAGAAGCTGACACGTTCCTACAGCATGTCACCCCACAGCCATAGCCTCTGGTCTCATTGATTGGGTACCTGACACAGCTGGGCAATCAGTCTCTTCCCTGGGAATTGGAAAGCAATTCCTTAGCCAGAGCGAGCAAGAGATCTGTTTTCTACTGGGTTATCAGTCTGCAATAAGTAACTGTTACTTGGGAGCAGGCGGTACCAGCCATTTTCTACCAGGCCATGCAGCTAATAAGAAAACAGTGAGAGACAGTAATGAAACAGATGTACACAGAGAGAGAGGCAGAAAGGAGAGATGGAGAGAGGGCTTTCTGGGTTCCCTGCAGCATGGCAATCTATTGTTCCTAAGGTTCAGCTGCTTCATTGCCCTCAAATTCAATGACATAGTCCATTATCCCTCCAACAAATTTTCTTTTTTGCTTAGAGTAGTCTGGATTGATTTTCTGTTATTTGCAAGCAAAGAGTCCTAATCAATATAAACTGTAATCAAGGGAATTTGGAACTTGCCTATTTAGAGTCTTTTTCCTTCTCAAAGCATCACACATGATCATCAAGCCCTCCTTTACTGCAAGCTGGTACAGGATGTGTATGGCTAATCTCTTGAGAAGAAATAAAGGAACACAGGCCCTAAAGTGCAAAGTAGGATAGGTTTATTTTTAGAATAAAGTAGCTCAATTAATAATGCTTACTTTACAAGTCCTACCAGTAAAAAATGGAAAAGGGAAGGAAGAGATAGGCATTTTCTATAATTTTATTTAAATCATTAAAATTCCATAATCATTTTTTGAAAATAGAAATTAAATTCTTACCTTTTATTAATTTATTATTTATTTATTCAATAAATATTTATTGAATATCTTTTATGTAGTGGGTACTATGAATGACACTGGGATTCCTAAAGTATAATTTTCAAAAAGCTAAAGTTCTTACTTTGTATAATTATAAAATGAATGCATGTCAAAGATTTTACTCAACTCATTAATGAAGGAACTGTTGGAAGGCAATCCTTCCTCTATTACTCTGTATTCCTACACAGGGTGTGCCGCTGGAGCACCGAAACTGACTCGCTAGGATGATAGGCAATGTCTCCTTCCCCCCCAGGAC